TCATACCACCCTCCTACCCTCCCCCTAAAAGCAGGGATGCACAATATTGGATTTTTGGTCGATACCTGATATGTTAAAACTTATTTGACTGATAACCGAGACCAATACGGATATTTTTTCTTAGACCTACTTACAGAGACTACGTAGCTTTCTTTGCTGTAGAATTAAAATACTACGTTATTCTACATGATCTTTGTCAGTTTGGCCTGCTACCAAATGCAGATGCCAAAAAGGGGGCTGGAAATTATGTAACACTTTTTTTTAAATTAATTTATTCATTTGTTTAAAAGAAACAAAAGAAACCAAACAAATTCATCATAAACAAAAAAACATTGAATGAAAACAGTTCAGAAAGAATAAGAAAATGGTTATAACAACAATAATAACACTTCAACTTAGATTATGTTTAATGTCAAATTTATTCATGGCATTTACTCTCTCTAACACAATGACAACACTCGAACAGACCTTTGAAGCCAGCCAGGCTATTCAAAGCTCTTTACAACACACGCTGTGTCCTCATTCACACGTTCATACAGCACTCTACTACTTCTACACAAAACTACTGTAATATAAATAAATCATTCAGTAGAGAATAATCAGTGCTTTAGATCACATTCATGCACTGATGGGACCGATTGAAGGAAACGAGGGATTCAGTATTTTGCTCATGGGCGCTGATGTGAATGCATACTGCCAGGAATTGAACCTCCGACTCCCTTGTTGGAGGACAACTGCTCTAACCACTGAGCCACAGCCACCCCACATGTCAAGGCCTGAAAGGGTGGCTGTAGGCTCAGAAGTCGTCCTTTAGGCAGGTGTTAGGGAGTTCAACTTGGTCTCTGACGGCCATGAAGAGTCACTGCAGCGTTCTGACGCAGCTGAGGGCTTCACTGTTGGGAGGGCTGCAGTGCTGAAACAGTCAGAGAGAGAGAGAGATGCCCATGGGTTGTAAACTTTGAGATATGCTGTAACTAGAGACAAGACCAGAACCCAAAAGTTGAAGCTCAAAGGACAAATGGTTTGCTGCAGGATCATTTGAAGTCCTGCCCCTCCCTTTAAACAAAGAAACTTTTTTGTGTAAAACATTAAAAATATACTTCTGATATTTTAATCAGGTGTGGACTTTTATTGATGAGAAACCTCTTAAAGCTTTTGTTGTATGTGTAAGTGTTCATTTTGTCAATATGTTTAGTTTTAATTACACTTTTAAAAAGTGTCATGTTGGTGAGTTGGGAGGATGTGTAAGATAAACTTCCTTATCCAGCCCAACATCCTTAGTGTGCACTACAGTTGCATTCGGCCCAAAAAATCCGACCCGGCCCCAGCCCGTAGCCATCATTTACGAACCCCACCAAACCAGACGAATTAACAGTAATTACAGGTCCGAACCCCAACACCCCCCCCCCCCCCCAACATTTTTAATTAAGCTTTGACTGCTTACAGTATATAGTTATTAACGGTTGGCGGACATGTGTGGCTGAATAAAAGAGGGCAGAATATCAGAGCTGAGGGGGTGTGTGTCCTTTCATGGCCATCAAAGCATTAAATCCCTCTCTGACATGTCTGCTTTGGGATCTCACCTGTTTGGGTCATCGGCCTCACGCATCCTTCTGAGTGATGGATCGCTTCCTGGCAGTACAGTCCCATCTGAAGCTTAACTGAACTTTATTTTACCTCTTTCAAGTCCGGTCAGCTCGCGGTGAAATAGCCGCGTGCAGCTGGTGTGGTGTGGCAAGCCATGATGCTATATAATTGGATAATATGGCAAGCCATGTTGCTATATAATTGGATAATTATGGCAAGCCATGTTGCTATATAATTGAAGCGTGGCCAAAAGCCCGACACTGACCTGGCCTGCCCATCTAGCACATTATCATGGCCCGGCCCACCCCAAATACAGGCCGGGCCGGGCCGGGCTTCAGGCCCTGGTTAGAAATGACAGCCCTAGTGTGCAGTCTCCAACAATACAGCATGGCAGCGCACAAACAGCTCACATTCTGGCTTCAGTTTTGAACGGGTGAAGGCGGAGACAATTCATCTTTATTAATGTTGATGGATGTACCAGTATGTGTGCTGTCAGATACAACTGGACTTGACTAGTGCTGCGAAGTGCAACGCAACATAAACGCACAAACTGATCACTAACGAGAATGAACCGTTTTCACACTTTAGTTGTGGAAATATTTAAAAAGATGTGCTTGTTGAACTGATTTGCAAACATATCCAATTTTATCCAGTTTTATTCCTGATGCTGTAACTTGAAGTTTTATTTAACCTTTGCTCTCCCTCCCTCCCTCCAGTCCCCCATCCTCAGAAGCAGCTTTCTTACAACACGTCTAAAGCAGGAGTGGTCAAACTGACGCAGACTCTGGGCACCGAATGGGTCGAGAGAGGAGTGCGTGTCAACTGCATCTCACCGTAAGTCCTGTCTTCTGTTTTGTGCCAGCACACACCTTTTGATTGTCATAAGAGACTCGTGACTAGACGAGGCGGTGACGAGCGTGTTTGCTTCCAGACAAAGAGCTCCGTTTGATAATGATGCATTCATTTAAGCCCTCAAACAATGCATCCATGCTTAATTAGATGACGTCTTGAGGGATGAATCAAACAAGCGCTTGCTCTAATTGTTCACTTCAATTAGGCAATCAAATGTGCAACCTCACTCCAAGTGTAGCTGCAACAATAGTGCCTTGTTTGTATCTATTTGGCTGTGAAGCTAGGCGGTTGGAGGAAAAAGAGGAGAACACAGGCAGGGCTTTCTCTGTGTGTTGGGGTAGGAAGGTGTGGAGAGGGGTGTTGTTAAGCAGAGCATCCCTTAGCCCCAGTCATCCCTGAGCAAATCCGTCCGGTGGCTCTGGGCGAACCAGGCCCAGTCAGAGCCCCAGAACAAAGCCCCTCGCACACAAGCGCCGCGCTCAGCTTTATTTATCGGCAGCTTGTTTGCTAATTTTAATTTGCAAAGAAGCAATTCTCTGTCTCTCCCTCGCTAACTGGGCGTCTCAATGGGCCGCTGATTTCTTTGAAGTGACAGTCGGTAAATATGCATAAAAAAGGGACACAATTAGCGCTCACGAGGTTGACTGGAGCCTGATTCTATTGGCAACTTTAGCCGCGGCGGTGATAAGCTGCATTATCTGGAAAATTGGCTGAGGGAAAACAGTACCTCTGATTGCCAGGAAAGGTTCCAGATAACAGGGCAGCTGAAGAAAAAATATAATTGAGGTGGAATATGTTAACCAGGGTGTCACACATGCTCCTTGGAAGTGCTAATTTAGCCAAATGTTGAAATTCCATATCAAGGTAACGGGATATATTGAACGACGATTCAGGCTTTATGGCTTTTAGTCTTTGTCACGCTGATTGTGTTGAGAGTCTGAAGTCGTCTCGCATGAGGCGCAGACAAGCATGTAGACATGTTTATTCAAATGTTAGTTTTATGACATGCAGAAGAGCTAGTTTTGATCACGTTTAGTGAGGAGTCCACATTGGGAACAGAACACGGTAATACTACAGGTTATGAGTAAATTAAACCAGCCACTCCATCATACCTGTGGGCTGCTCCTGGGACGTGTCAGTCAATAAAGTGCCCCCAGTCACAGTAAATATCAGAGATGCCATGTCACAACGGTTCTTCAAAGGATAATTGGTTTTATTTGTGTCACCAAAGTGGTGGCTCTGAAACAACGCTGTCACTCCTGGCTCTGCTCTGTGATGCCTTCTGATTTCATTGTGTGTGTTTTTTCTCTTTTTCAGAGGGATTGTTGACACCCCTCTCATCCACTCAGAGGATCTGAGGCCTCTGGTGCAGCGCTGGCTGTCAGATATTCCTGCTGGTAGACTGGCTCAAGTGACAGACCTGCAAGCTGCAGTGGTCTACTTGGCATCTGAAGCCTCTGACTACATGACAGGGCATAACTTAGTCATAGAGGGTGGGCAAAGTCTGTGGTAGAAGCAGCACATGAAGAGATGAAAACTTTTTTTTTTTTTACATTTTCACTTTCTTGGAATTGGGCTCAGAAAAAGGTAGCTTTCATTGTTCCCAGTAAGTTGAGACTGCTGTCCAGCTCATCACTACAGTGCTACAACTTCACTTGTTTGTTAATGAAAGAATTAGCATGATGTTGGACATGTTCTATCCATGTTGAGAGATGATTGGTAAAATAGTTGTAAAAGCCCTCCTGGAGTGAATCTTTATAAATGGTACTGTCACAATTTCTGATGCATGCATTTGTTATTTTAATGCTCAGTGACTAATGGCAAAACAACAGATTGTACTATATGGTTGTGACTTTAATGTGGGTTTGAAAAAAATCAAGTTTTGTTACTCTGCTGCACAACACAGAGGCTTCTTTGAATGAATACATAAAAATAAATGTTGCTGTATTTGCCGATTTTTGAGCAACTAGTTTTGGCGCAATTTGTCAATGAAGAAGCACACACACAAATACCATTAATATTAAATGGTAAATGGACTGTACTTATATAGTTCCCTTCTATCTTGTCAAGATACTCAAAGCTCTTTACAACTCTACCTGAGCCTTCATTTACCCATTCATACAGCACTCTACTAGATCTATACAAAGAATAATCAGAGCTTTATCACATTCATACACCGATGGGACACGCATCAGAGGTAATGAGGGGTTCAGTGTCTTGCCCAGTGACACTTCAGCATGTGACTGCTGGTGGAATCGAACCCCCAACTCTCTCAGAAGACAACTGCTCTAACACTCAGACACAGCTGCTCCTTAATTAAATGACTGGTTTAAAAATTACCATTACTGGTAATTTACTTTTATGTCAAAATAGCATTTTTCTTTCGTGAGATCTAACTCTGATTGTTTTCCTTTGTACTTGTACTTACTTGTACTTTGTACTTAAACATTTTATGGTTAAGATTTTGGAATGCAGTTCTGATACTAAGGGGGCCCTCAGCAAGATTTATACACTGCTCAGTTCATACCATGAGATCAATCTAGACTCTTAAACTGAAATGGGAAATGGACCTGGAGGAACCCATATCAGACTCAATCTGGTGAATGATCATTAAGAGCATTGACTCATCCTCAATCTGTCTGAGACTTGTTGTAATTCAATTCAAGGTGGTGCACTGGCTGCACTGGCTCAAAGACATATTGACCAAGATCAAAGCCGACCTGGACCCCGCATGTAATCACTGTAAACAAACTCCAGCTATGCTCTTACACACATTCTGGACTTGTCCAAAGTTGTGGGGCTATTGGCAATCTAGTTTTTATACCTTCTATGTGATATGTGGCAAAACTGTGCACCCATCACCATTCATCTCACTGTTTGGGTTGGCCCCTGTGGATGCATCCTTCAGCAAGTGCAAGAGGAATATGATTGCTTTTGGTGCTCTTCTAGCCAGGAGACTTGTTTTATGTACAGTGTAGATGAAGGATCCACATCCCCGGGTATATGAACACTGGATGAGAGAAGTCATGTATCATGCTCATTTGGAAATGGTCAGATATACTTTGAACGGTTCTGTTAAGAGGTTTTGAGACACTTGGCAGCCATTTGTATCGTATGTTCAAAATGTGTCAATGCCTGTTTAACATGTTCCTGTCTATGTGGCTGATCTGGGATGGGAGGGGATTTTGCTATTTTGTTGTATGTTTTCCTTTTTATGTGTATGTGTGCTGTTAAAAAAAATCAATAAAAGACTTTGATTAAAAAAAAAAAAAAAAGAAGTATTTTTCCGTTTTTTTTCCTTTCCCAGGAGTCACACACACATTCAGAGTTGCTGTGTCCCAGTTTGTCTCTCCACTTCTTTCTTGCCAAATGGTCCCTGCAAGTGGTGCTTTTGGGCACCATCTTAATTGCTCCATTAACTGTTTGTGTGCTGAAAAACAATACTTAAAGGCGAGGTTAGCCGAGGACGTGACCCCAGCCGCTGCAATTATATGAAAAGTAGCGGCCAATTAGCGCTCTTTGCAATGAGACACTGTTGGTGTTTATGTGAGCAACTTCAAGTTCTCACTGCTAGTGACCGTGCTCTGATTTACATAATTGGGGGATTGGTCATTAATGGGAATGGTGTGTGAGAGGATCCCATTAAGATATGGAGAGAGATCTGATCTCACGCCACAGCTCTGTGCTTTTTATCTCCAGCTGTACTGGCAATTATTAGGATTCTTATCACATCAGCTTTTTTGGGGGTGAAATACCAAACTTTGGCGCAGCGTGGAGGCAAGACTTGGCAGAATTTGTTCCAAAGAGGACAAGTGTATCTCTTCCAGACAGTTTCATCATCTTGCCAGAGAGGGGCAGCATTATGTCAGGCAGCTGCAGCACTTCTGACACAAAGATGTGAGAGGTTATCACATTATTGTCATCTAAAGGTAATATCAGTGAGCTGTAACATCTGTGTGCAGACTGAAGTACACATCTCTAATATTAATATGCAAACAGCTCATCGTGGGAACCATAAAGGAGCTAAATAAATATATGAACAAATAAATGTGGTTTGATAGTTGACGGTTACATTTCAAATGCATTAAAAGTATAATTTATACCTAGCTGTTTTGTGATTTACATTATCATCAAAGTTTAGAATTTGATGTTAAACAATGATTTTAATTAGATGTATCTATTTCAAACCACAGCCAAATGCACAAAATATAATTAAAAGCTCAGTTTTTAAAGATGGGGCACATCCTTTATCTAGAATTAGGTGTTGTTAGCCTCCAGGCTAAATGATGCAAAACAGGCTTCCCAAACTTATAACAACTGAATTTTCCCCCCGCGGTTCTTTTTCCAGCCACTCACCACCATCGTTTAGTGGAAGTGTCTAAACTGTTGTTTTGCCGTCATGTCTCACACCACATTAACCTCTTCCCCAGCTCCACTGGAGAGGTCTTGTTTGCCTTTACAACTGCTGCCAAAAGAGCAAAATCCGTCATTTGAGCGGCAAAACACGATCTCTTGAATGCAATAACCTGCTTCATGAGGTGTAAGTGGTCTTGAATCCATTATTTATCACCTGCTATTGGTGCCATTACACTGAAGAGTGGGACCCTGTTGTACAAAGTGCTGTTGTGCTAAACAGTTCCACGGCAGAAAAAGCCACTCTGGCCCTCGCACTCTAGCTCAGTGTTGATTAATGCTCCGCTCTGTTACGGCATAAAACGTTTTACTGCAGCAGTCATTCTGAGGGAGACCTGGGTCGATGCAGAACAACATCATAAGGCAGTAGGTGTTGAGGAGAAGGCTGCATCCAGGTGACAGGAGGACTCAAGGGTTTATAGATGACAGATTAACATTTGACAATATCAATACACTTTAATGATGGATTAAAGCATCCAGGTAACACTCAATGAGGTATTTAAAGATGAAATGTTACCCCCCCTTATAAAGAGTTGCACCTGCTGATGTTACTATCTGAGTTATGACCGGGCAATGGCAAAAAGAAAATGTAAAAATGTATCATCTAATAAGACCAGTGGACATGAAATTCACACATAATGACCCTGGATGTTTTTTATTTAAATGCTAAAACATTTCAGCTACAAATCATGTGCAAAATTGATGATGAAGCCAACAATTTGAAAGCCTCAATTGTTTAGGTAAATAGGTAGCTACCTGCATTTGCACTGAAACCTGTGTTTCATTGTTTTCTGTGTTTGTTGATATTTCATTTAATTTATTGAATAGATTAAAACACCTCTGAGGTCAAGATCATTGGCAATTGGAACATGAGTAAAAGGTCCTCATTCAGTCATTTTGCCCATAACCCTTAAAAGTTATTGTTGGGATTTTATCATTATAAACTTTGTGATTTAATAACTTTGAAGCTTGTCAAGTCTATTATATGGCGACCATACGTTGGGACTTTTTACACTTGGTTTAAAGTTATTATTTTTGTAAATGGACCCATCACGATTTGGAGGAAAAACCAAGTGCGAACCAGACTGAGGGTAAACAGACCCAAACTGAATATGGTTTTTAGTGATTTATTTAGAGTGAGTTATATTGAATGGTGTTATTTACAAGGAAGCCTGGAACACCTGAGGAGGAGGAGATAGGGTGAGTCCAGTGTGAGTCCAGGGTAATAGAATATTTGGTGAGTCTCAGGTTGTTGAACTCTTGCTGGAAGGTCACATCTCGACACATCGAGAAGAGGGTAAGTGGTTTCAGATAGAGGTAGTCGGGCTGAGGGTGGACAGTCAGCTGAGCAGCTGAAGATAAATGCGGTTCATTTGCAGGCACAAGGAAGTAGAGGAGAGATCAAAAGTAGGAGACTTCAGGAGGCAGGCATAGGAGCATGAGGAGAAAACAAGGTAAGTACCGTATTTTTCGCTGTATAGGTCACAGTTTTTTGCATAAATTAGCATGCCTGCGACTTATACAGCAAAGCGACTTATTTATGTTTATTCCCCCATATTTATGACCCAATTTTTGGCTGAGAGCTGACGATTTAATTAATTCTGACACTGAAAATATGGAACACTACCTTTTTCAGCCACTAGAGGGCCCTCGACTGATATGGCAAGCCAACTGTCACATTAATAGGTAAAAGTGGCTATTAATGAGACACTTGGCTTGCCATAGTAGCCACCTTCGTCTCGCTCCCGAACTCCGAAGTTATGTCAAATCAGCTGCATTTCGCCACGCCTCCCACTCGAAATGCAGCTGATTTGACCATTAAATTAAGGAAAAGTTCAACTGAGACACACCTTTACTATAATTTCGAGCAAACAAATAATTGTTTTTAATTATTAATCTTGTTAAATTCTTGTTAAGGTCCTCCAGTACACGCTCCCGCGGCTGCCGTTTGGCAGCCAATCGATTTTTGGCACAACTGGTCCATGTTTCCAGGTTGTCAGCGGTGATGCATAACAAACACAACACGTCAACAGTGACGCATAATAGATGCGACTTATACGGCAATGCAACATGTATGGCGGCAAGTATGGTAATAATCTTTA